TTCAAATGCGAGCAATAGTGCGGAATTATAACAAAAACAATAATACCCTAAACGTGTGTTCCGCGTATCGCAGTGCGCGCGTTTTGTGTTTTGATTAAAACGGTAAAAATATGACAATATTTATCTATATTATGTGTAAAGCAGACTGGACCACTGGGAAAAGCTGCAAAACATTATCTTTTCAATTTTCTGTCAAAAATAAGTAACTAATTAGTATGTATTTACTAGGTGTTATACAATTGTGCTATGCATAATATAAAAAAAAATTTAACATTTTTGCAAATTATTCCCAAACCGTGCAATAAAAGATTTATTTGACTTGCCAAGTAGGGTGGCTAAATACATATTGAATTTGGAGTTTCTATCTTGAAGTTTAGATGTCAAAGAAGCCTATACCACAACTAATGGGACATCCTGTATACATCATTATGTTAAACCATCATTGTTAAAATACTATCATAATTTAAAGAAGTATACTGTAATAGGTTAGAATAGTAAAATAAAATAAATAGCTCATGAAAATCATTAGATTAAGTCATATATTGGTAGACTATGTACCAATAAATTGGTAGGGTTTGCAACAATGCTTGATAGCTTGTTTAACTTCTTCTACTGTTGAAGGTTTTATCTCTTCCACTCAAGACGTCATTCTTAGAACTTGACTATCTTCCTTCTCCTCTAGTGTCCCAAGCAAAGTTTAGATTAGTAACTTTGAAAGGCAGATTAGAAGTATAACTAGGGTTGAAACATGTCCTAACATGAGCTAAACTCACCACTTGAATTTCATTTTTCAAATTAATGTAGTATTATTAACCTTTACATACTAATTCATGTAAGATGTGTTAATATATAAAGTACCAAATAAATTTAGTTTACTTACCTTTCCACAAATATTACAAACATATCTTCTACATTCTCTGTGTATATTCTCATGCTGTTTTAAATTAGATCTCGTTTTTAATCTTTTATTACAAAATGTACAAATAAAAGGTTTCTCATTTGAATGAGATTTCAGATGAATCTTTAGCTTTGAATGGGTTTCAAATACTTTTCCACAAAAATTACATAATTGACTTTCAGATTGGACCTTTTCTCTTGGCACTTCACATTCCATATCGATACTAATATCTTTCTGATCATTATTCTTATTATTGCTACATAAATGATGCAATAAGTGTTTAATTAGGTGTTCATTTAAAATAAAATTCTTTTTACAAAATTTACAACATAAATCGCCTTTAGAATGATTTTCTTTTTTGTGATGATCTAAATTTGGTGTTAATTTATTGCAAATTGAGCACCACTTGGTTTTTAATTCTTTATGTACAATTGAAACATGAGAAATTAATCCTTTTCTATTTATACCAAGGAAATTACATGATATACAATTAAGGTTGGAATAAAAGATTGTTTTTGCTTCTTTTATAGAGGCCATCACTTCATCATAAGTTATATCTGATAATAACTGAACTTGCGACTCATTTTGAACATTATTTTTTAATGGAGAAAAGTTTGAAATATCGTATTGTACACTTTCTAAATATAATTGTGTTCTTTTTGCAATTTGTATCAATGATGTAAAGCCTTCAAGTTTCTTTGTACAATCTTCACATAATGTTGTTAATGAAGTAAAAGTTTCTGTTAACTAAAAAATAAATAATGTTTATTTGTATTTATTATTGTTTCTTATTACCTTAAAATTTAAAGGAAAATCCAACGAATCTAATCCTAATTTATCCATTTCAGTTATTTGATACATTAATTTACTTTTATTTAAACAAATTCGACACAATTCACTTATATTTTCATTATTTTGAGACATTATTATTAAACAATATTGGCTGCATAAATGTTTGTTGATGTTCGTCCTGTCAAAACAATCAAAGTGACAACCTAAGAAAATTAAACGATTATAAACTTAAATAAGGAAGTTAAATTAAAAAAATTATACAACAAATTAAGCGATAAATTAAGCAATTGTAAAAATAGTAAGTTTAATTTAATTTATAAATCATAAAATTTAATTTAAAATCGTGATGACATATATTAAAACTTAGATTGGTAGCTCTGAAATATAAGACAACGATATACAGAGTGTAACAAAAGTCTGTTATATGGCCTGTAAAAAGTTTAGCACTTATAAAATGTTATTTAAAGATAGTTAATTGAGTTATTGGGCATGAACACTTGTTCCCGGTAATTAACATACTGTAACAGGATACTTAAGGAATGTACTATCGTTGTAATTTTAGTAACGATTTCGGAATCTATTATAATAAGAAAACCTTTAATAGGTTTTGAAAGAGTGGGTAAATTCCTAAAATTAAACCGGTAAGAGTTTAAAGAAAGATAATAAGGTTAAAAACTACCAGAAACGGGTTAATATGAGGAACAAGAATTTATACACGAAGTAAAGTTACGCCAAAAAATCGAAAAGATAGGCAACAGAATAGAGCTGAACGTATAGAGAGAAGCGTATACACTTACAAAGATAATGAAGAAGATTCTTTTTTGATGCTGCCAGGTTGAGGAGAGTAGCCCCTCTCGTAACTACGACCTACATGATGTTTTCTAACTTACGCCCTCCAAAGGTTTAGAGCAGATCCAGGTCCTTGATGAACCCTAGTATTGTTATAGTCTTGTTTCTTTATGACAGTAGGTGTTAGGCAAACTTTGACGACGCAGTCCTAGTGATGTAAAGGGTAATATTACCGAGGAAATGTTACCGGTAATTTTGGTAATATTACGTAATATTACCGCAAGATCGGTAACATTGGAAATATTGTTTTTTCCCGCTCTATACTCTCATTTATTTGCCCAGCTGTACATGGCGTCACTGGCGCCGCGCGGTCGCACATATCGATCGGGGGAATACCCGAAATCTAACTTGTGACAATTCCATGGTTCCCCGTGGCCCGTGGCAAGCGGCAAGCGATATTTTGTAAACAATCTTCATCATAATTAGTGACATTATTGTTATAAGAGGTGTTGTTTATAACTATCAGTGCGATTCCTATTAAATAACTGTAATTGTTTTGCCTTGTTATGTGTGTATTTGAACTGGTAAGTCTAGATATTTTTAAGTTGAGCTCTTCCCGAAATGCATGATGTTTATTTTGTAGTTGCGATAATATGGTTAAGCCGAAGACTGATGTTTGGAGGTACTACGATCTTAAAGATAAAGACAACTATTTCTGTAAATATTGTACAACCTCCTTTAAAAGAAATGCTACCAGACAATTCCAACATTGGCTAAAATGTGTTAAAATACTTGAAAATGTAGTACAAATTCTTAAAAAAGGGGAATGCCTATAATAAATGTTTCCAGTAGTAATAATAACACCACGCCAAGTTAAACCGATGTATTAGAAGATAGTGATGCTGATGCTACTGATACTACCTCTCAGCAGGGGCAGGAAGAATCTTTAGACTCAGAAATTGCTTCACTAGTCAGGCCTGTGCCTTCATCAGCTAGTTCTTCATTTTCAAGTACTACTAAAGCATCAAAGGGTACAATTTCTTCGTATTTTGATAACATGTCCTCTCAAGAAAACAATAAGATTGATGAAATACTCGCAAGGGCTATTTATGTCTCAGGAGCCCCCATAGATATGACAACGAAAAAAGTATGGTTAGATGTATTCAAAGCAATGAGATGCGCATATAAACCACCCTCTCGTTACCAGTTGTCAAATCCACTTCTCGAATCCGAGTACACTAGAGTAAAAGCTGCAGTTTCTTCAAAAATTAGTGAAGCACCTATCTTAAGCCTACAAATGGATGGATGGATGGTCAAATTGCAGAAATGACTTTATATCTAATTGTGTTATTAATACACCTCTTCCGGTATTTTACAAATCAATACACACCGAAAATAACAGACATTTAGCAACATTTTTGGCCTCAGAAATTGAAAAAGTGTTGAAAGAATTAGGAGCTTCAAATTTTCTAGCTATTGTCACTGACAACGGAGCTAACATAAAAAAGGCTCGTGAAATAGTTAGCAAGTACGATTACATTACTAATTATGGTTGTATTTGCCACTGTCTAAACCTTCTGGTTGAAGACTTCTTGAAATTAGACCATTTTTCCAATTTTAAAAAGAACATAATTTCAATTGTATCTGAGCTGAAAAATTCGCAGATTTTACATGCAACGTTTGAAAAAATCCAGTTGGACAAAAGGGGGCGATACATCTCTTTAAAATTGCCGGTGAAAACAAGATGATTCCTTTGTTTGTTGTCTAAAAAGCTTTTTGGACACTAAACATTCATTAAAAAGTTTAGCAGTTGATGATAGCCCAGATATTTCTGATGTTCTTTCATCAAATACAGTAAGACTTCTTCTTCAAAACGAATTTTGGTTACAAATAGAAGCAACTTATGACTTGTTCCAACCAATCGCTAAGTGGATAACGATTTTTGAAGCTAACGGGCCAACAATCTCAAAAGTGTTTATCTGCTTTTTTGAAATAAGATCTATATTATGTGACAAAGTATCAACTTTATCTATTACTATGTTGGAATACCAGAAAAGTGTTCAATTCTTGAAAAACGACAAAATAAATGTTTAAAACCCGTTCATCTTGCTGCTTACCTATTAGAACCAAATCAACGCGGCGACAATTTAACTGAAGATGAAAATTTAATTGCAACGGAGTTCATCTATAGTCATCCAAAGTATTCTTCACAAGTAGATCTTATTATGGAAGCACTCGCACTGTACAAAATTAGAGGTAATAATTTTGCTAAGGAATTCGTTATTTCCAGCGAAAAATGTATGTCTGAACCTGTTTGGTGGGCAGGAATTTGTTCCAGTTCTAAAATAAGTAGGTTGGCTGTAGACATTTTAAATTTACCATCGTCAACAGCCGCAACCGAAAGAACCTTTAGTACTTACGGATGTATTCATCGGCAAAGAAGAAACAGACTTACCGTGGAGAGGGTCGGAAAACTAACTTATATTGCCCATAATTATAATTTACTAAATGAAGACGATCATTCAAAAATAGTAGAAGCTATTGAAGAAGAAATAGAAAAAGAAGATATCGGTTTCAAAGTTATAGACTTTACTCAATTCACGAAAGAGAAAGAAGATTCAGATGACGAGGTTGGGGATGATCCCGATGATGATGAGGATGATTTACCATTATCCACTCTATTACATAGTCCATTGTGACTCTGACTAGTTTAAAAAACGTTCTTGTTGTTTTTCGTAATGTTTTTACAGTTACAGTTACAGTTACAGTTACAGTTTTGAAATAAAAAAAACTTGTATTACTTAAAAAGCTGTTTTTTACAAATTACCAATGTTACCGTAATATTATGTAACATTACCGGTAATATTACCGATTTTTAAATTACCGGTAATTTTACATCACTACGCAGTTCACAGAATATGTTCAGCAGTCTCTGATTAAAGTAGGTAGAAGATTTGCTAAGAGAAATATATGGTAGACTCGATGATATAGACGAAAAGCTTATTAAATTAGATACTGATATAAATGAGATGAAAAAAGAAAATGAACAATTCAAAGATAAAGCCGAGAAAATTAAAAAGAATAGAGAAAAGACTTGATAACACTAGTCTACAAAAAAAATTCAAAAAATGTAGGTACATTTGACGCCACTGTATTTTTTAGTTTTCGAGACGAGACTTGAGACGATACTTGGACAAGACAAGACGAGACTTTCCTTGGTCTCGTCTCGAATCTCGTGCATGTGGTCTTGCGTCTCGTACGAGAGTCTCGCAGGTAAGTAGTTCTGCACATAATATCTGCAATATTTCTGTAAATATTTTCGTATCTACACGCTGGAATTCCAGTAATGATATGTTGAAAGTACCTCTTGAAGGTAGACATTTTGACACAATCCACCAGCATGCACCAGCATTGTGTCAAAATGTTGATTTGAAACCGTATGCTCTTGAGGACAAAGAATGGATACTAATAGAAGAAGTGCATAAATTACTAATCAACTTTCAAATAGTTTCCAAGAAACTCGGAGGAGAGAAGTACGTCAAATTACCTATGGTGGTTGTATGTATCCATATATAGATAATATTGAGAGCAAAATATTTGCATGGGAACGAAAGGCAGATCGAAACGCTGTCGAAGAGCAGCTTATTGTTAGTTTTCAGGATGCGAGAGGCAATATATTTAAGCATTATCGTAAAACTAATTAGATTTATGCTGCAGTTTTAATTCTCGATTCGCGGCATAAGATAGAAGTTTTTGATATGACAAGATGAAGCCAAGAATTAAAAGAGACTCCGATTCAGAAATTTGAAGATGTAACATATACACCGGCATTCGTGGAAGTGTCGCGTGGTTTCGTTAGTGAATCTAATTCATTAAAATGGCGGCCGATAAACGAGTCTCTCAGATGAGAGAAAGATTTTATTCACAGTTGTGTATTAAAAGAAAATCAGCAACTACTAAAAACTGCACGTTTATTGACGATCAACGGTATGAACAATTGTTAGAAGAAATAAAAAATGCAAAAACAGCCAATAAGAAGTTATTTATTTATTGGTTATTGCAGCATTATGATTTTATAACTGTTGGTCAAAAACATAGGTTAATATTTCCTGTGAATACCCCAAATAACAATATTATATATTACGTTGCTGGTAGTGAATTATTCCAAGTACTTCACGAGGCACATCAAAGTATCGGCCATGGCGGTCGAGACCGTATGCTGAACGAGCTTTCTACACGATACAAGAATATAACTCGCTACGATGTTGAACTATATCTGCAACTTTGCGAACCGTGCCAGCAAAAACAAAAAGGAATAAAAAAAGGGATTGTCGTCAAACCCATACTTTCATCTGAATTTAATTCTCGCTGTCAAGTAGATTTGATTG